TATCAATATATTACTCAGCACTAAGTCAATGATGTTGCAATAAAACATTGCCCCCTAGAACAGTCGGTCTGCCGATTGTAAAACTGTCACCAGTCAAGTCTTTGTCATTTCTCAAGCCTTTCCCACTCCTGTGAAAATTGATGAATTAGAAATAAACCAGCATGAGCACCACTTCGTTTGCCGTAAGCCGTACAATAAAGGAGTAGGTGTGAATTTGAGATTGTAACTCAAGGCCATTTCAGCACATGGCTGTGCAAAAAAACACCTCACCTATGACCTTCACCTCACCGGACTGTAACTGAAGCCAGGGTGCACCCTGCTAACAGCCGGGCAGACACACAGAAGGAGAGAGGCTTTCAGGACAAACACTGACTCAGGTCCCCTCTCATCTCTCTGCATTAGTTAGCACTAATTTATGTTACTGTAATAAACAACAATTTGATAAAAAACGAACAAATCTGTAAAATTCAGAAGGTTATACAACAAATCAAACAGAAAGGTTTGACACCGCATCCAACTCTTTCCATTAAGCAGCCTTAAAATCATAAATATGACCTTGTTGCGCATGATATGTCTCCATTCTTTTACAAAAACAAAGAAAATAAAAATGATTACGATCACACAATAATAAATAATACCACGTGCAAGTAAAAATATATGATATCTTGTATAAATCTGATAAATGAATGCGATGAGGACAGCTGATACAAGGGGCAGCCAGTGAATGACTACGATCATATAACGAAATGTAATAACTTCCAGTTGAAAGTGTTGATGTCAGCACTAAGAAGTGTGATATGTTTTATTCAGACTGAATATATATTTCAGCACATCTTCCATGTTCACTTCAGGCCACAGGAATATTATCTGGGTCTTGTAACCTCAAACTTTTCTCCTTCTTAATATTCATTGCATGTGCATGTTTGTGAGCTACGGACATGTATTGCAGCTCGCTCTGGGTAAGGGAATTAGAAAAACTGCTTTTTGCAAGTGTAAATGTTGGATTAAAGCTTCAAGCAATGCTTAGATAAGAAGATTGCTAAAGAAAAGGGCATCATATCTAAAAATGATAACAATTTGCTTGTTGATAATGATGATAAAGGGATGGAAATGTACAAAAGAAGATGTTTAAACTATGTAAATACAAGGGAAGGTTTATTCCTTTAACGAGAATACAAATATTCCCATTTCCAAATGTTTTTCTTGCACATAACCTTTTTATCAATCTCTATTACAGCAAAAGAAATGTAATTTGGAGTCAGTCTGTTTTACAAAACACAAGCTTTTCTATGGTAAGCGTTTTTGTTCGTCAATGTCCATTTGTGTCTTTGTAAGAACACAGAGGTTTGTATTTGTCTGTGTGCATGTCTCACGCGTATCTAACTGTATTTGAGTATGTTAATGTCGATCATTTTAAGTGTGTGCACGCTTTTGTTGTCAGTCTGATAAAGTCAGGAATTGTGTCTCTATAATTGTGTATGTCTGTATGTGTGTGTTTCTGATGAGTCACCACAGATACAGCAGCCAGCAGCAGTAGAGCAACGTTAGCAGATAACAGCATTTATGTTCCAGAGGCCTGCGGCTCTGCCAACAAGCCTTCCTCTCACTGGCCTCATCCTCTCCCAGCTTGGCTTCGTTCACATCTGCACGCCACACATCACCTCTCATTACACCACAGCGAGATTCACAAACCTCAGCAACTGAAAAACAAATAATACCTGCTCAGGCTTACCTGATGCTGGCGAGGGCTAAAGTTGTTAGTATTTACGGTAGTAGCAAGGCTTAATGTTGATTCCCCTTGATCTAACAACAAATCCTTTCTCCAGTCGAGATAAACCATAAGGTTTAATGTCTAGAAGGATTCTCACAGTATTACATCACGGTGCAGTGAGATAACCACCTCAAAAAAATATTATTCTTATAATAAACAATTTCAAACATTTAAACATCAGCTGTGAGCTTTTAAAAAATAATTCCTAGGATAATTAACATACTGTAGGTGCACATCCACGCAATAAAACACAGACAAACATATACTGTTTCCAATACGCATAGATAAGCGAATATACATGGTATGAGAACCGTACATTTTGATACAGCTATTCACTATACCATTCTAACTCTATGTACAGTAGATTTTAAAGCTGCATCAAAAGCCACACAGACCTACATGTTCTTATGATGTCATTCATATATGGCAATCTGTGTTTAACACATCCATGGGTAAAAGTGGCTGATAAGTTATCTTCCTCTCCAGGACACCATCCATCATGAGGAGACTGAAATCTGTTCAACTGAAGCTGGTTGATCATGGCAGATCTTGAGGAAAGCTGCCTGACGCTGAAAGCAGAAGGTGGAGTTAAGTTTCCTGTCCTGCTAAGTCTGCAGTGCAGTTTGGATGCAGCTTGTTTCACCTTTTAAGAGTGACTACAGTACACCCGACTCACGACTGTATGGGAAGAAATACCGATCTGGCAGCCAGGAAAACCTTCAGGGCTTCTCAATAATTCACACAGCACTTCTTAAACACAGACTCTCTCTCAGCACCCCCGCCCACCATGACCACGAACCAACAAACACACACAGATAGTCACACACTGCACACACACACATCCACTACTGCCACCTTTTAAAAACACTTTTCCATGTTGTCCCAGAAAATACATCCATTGTAGTGTCAGCAGAAGGAAGCAAGACATGGCTTTGCAACCAAAAGCAGGCTGAGTACACTGCCTCCAGAAAGCCTCACAGACAGGATGGGAAGTGAAATGTGTGACTTTACCACAGTAACAGTGCCCCTACTTTGATTTAAAAATGGCTAATTTAAATTCTTCAGTGCAGATTTCTGTGATGATGCTGATATTTTATTTACACTACAATATTTTTGTCTCCCAAACGTTGCCCAGTAAGCTTCAGATATGTTTGCCAATGTTATGTGGACATGATGCAAGACTATGGCTCAAGTTCAACAGAAACATTAAACCATAATCTGCTTGACTAAGATTACTTTCACCAGCCAGCCTTGCTCTTCAATTAGAGATCTTTTCATGTATTTTTTAGACCCCGACCATGACTTAGACATTTCAAAATGTTGGAGGAACATTTATCCATTACATTTTTTAAATGCAGTTGGTTGTTCGAGGCCACTACTCAAGGTCTGCATAAGGACAGAGATAATGATTACAAGGCTTTATAACATACAACATGTGCAGGCTAGTGAAGAGCATATTGCTGCCTTTGGCCATAATCATACTGTACCAGAGAGTGTATTTGTCCAAAAGGTTTTTGAAACTGTTTCTAATCAAGGTCACAAGGTCAGCTTTCACTGAAGGTAAAACGTAAAATTCATGAGCCATGAGGATTCGTCTGAGGTAAAAAGGCAGCCTGGGTTAACTGTTTGTTAAATTAAGGTTAATCAAATATTTAGTTTGCCAGCCAGAGAGGCTATTACAGAACAACTTCACACTGGCAGACTGAATGCTGCTAGCATCTAGCTGTCTTTCGTTTAGTGTTTTGAACTGTTGGCACAGCACACCATTATACAACCTGTGTATTAAATACATGTTGTCTCTTGCTGCTGTGTTAGCTGTGACAGGCCCTGACTGCAGGCTCCTCTGGGAAATCAGCCCACTTCCTGTTGTAACACAGCCACTGGAGGTGGAGGAATTAAGAAGTGTGTGTGTGTGTGTGTGTGTGTGTGTGTGTGTGTGTGTGTGTGTGTGTGTGTGTGTGTGTGTGTGTGTGTGTGTGTGTGTGTGTGTGTGTGTGTGTGTGTGTGTGTGTGTGTGAAGACAGGAGGATATAGAGATGCTGCTCCACCGTTATTTAGTCAAGCTGTATTTTCCCGTAGCTTCCTCTGTGAGAAATGGGTCAGAGCAGCACGGCACCTGCTGCTGGCTGTTGATGTGGAAGATCAATACTCTTCACATATTTCTACTTTAGCTGCTGTGTGCACAGAGTGAAGATTTAACTTGGCAAGGTTTTGTTATATGTTAATTATAAACATATTTGAGGCTGTCACATTCAGCTTCAAGTGCATGGGCCATTGCCAACCAATACGTTTAAACATGTTTAATCTAAAAGCAAAAAAGATCAAACTCAAGATGAGAGATTTTGTATCACCCTTTTATCTATTGCATGATGCTAATTGTATTTGTATAAAACAAACCTGCTTATGTAACACAAGAAACCAATTAACTACATTTGCATAATTCAAACAGTAACAGCTGGGTGATATGTTATATCCAATTTTATAAATGAGTCTCGTGAGTTCAAAAAGTATAAACTTGGGAATTCTGAGTTGTATAGCTTAATGAAATAACTTGTAATTGCTTCAGACTGTTTGGTTATTATGTTCCAATTATTGATAATTGCTCTTCATTTAGAAATATCTAACATCTTATACAAGCAAGCAATTCTTAGGTTTTGAATCTGAAATACAGTGAAGCACTTAAAACGTAACCCTTTTTTTTTTTCATTAGCATTTGAACCCCTGCTGTGTGGGTGTTTTGCTCAACTCAAATGAATGGAATATAATTTAAAGACAGGTGACCAAAGTGGATATTGGGCCCCTAGCCATGCAGCCTCTACCTTACTTTGTTCATCATCTTTTTAACTAGAAATGAAGCTGCTTTTTTTTTAAGCCAGCAGTAGCAGGCCCCCCACACCAGACTGAAGCAGAGTGAAAGAAGATCACAGCAGCAGGAAAATGGCAAAACCCCAAGACTCCAGCAGCTCCTGCTGAGCTGCTCCACTGTCACTTCCTCTCCTCTGGCAGCCTTAAAGGCACATTTCACTTTGAATTGAAAGAGGAAATCAATTGAAGTCACTAATCTCTATGCTAGTCACTTTGTACCTTTACATTTGCAACTGAGAAGGACTCTTTCATACCAGGGTCCGGCTCAGAGAAGTATGTGGCACCTCTAACAAAACCGGAGCCAATCCGTCACATGTAACAAACATAAACCCCCATCTCCAATTTGTTTCATAATTGCACATACCTGATCTGGTTACATGGTCCGTTTGTTAAACTCAGGCTTATCCTGTGGAGTTTGACCGTGTAAAGCCAGCAGCATCCTTATCGCAGCAGCAGGAGGAGAGAAGAGAAGCGCTGTGCATGGGACTGCGGCGGAGGAACTTCTCCAAGGATGAGTCGGAGTCCTGAGCGCACAACGCCGCTGGGATATCCTAACAATCCCGCGGTGGGACCAGCAGACTAAAGGTCAGAGGGACGACTGCAGACACAGCAGAGACCAGCAGACACCGACACACGGAGCATAGCCACGGTACGCCACCGGAGAAATAAACACTTAAGGACGAGGACAACACTTCAGGATAAGCGCTTTTTACGCGCATGTAACCTGTAATACGCATTAACCTTCACACACAGCAGCGGTCCTTTCGGGACTCCGAGAGGACAAACAACCATCAGGTAGCTTTGAATCGCTGAAATTCAAACGCACACATCCAACAAGTGAGAGGCGAGGAAACGATATGACGGAGTCCGCTGCTGGGCGGACTGGGAGGAGGCGGTGGGAGGAGAGGAGCCGCCCCACATCACACTACCTCCCTGGCAATGGACATGATATGGTACAGGATACTAAACAAATGTGTGGAAACATAAGGTTATTATTATTATCTTAAAATGGCAAAAATGTTTTAGAAAGGTCTCACGTTTGGCACTTGAAGTTCCACTTAATCTACATAACCATACTATACCAGACCACAAGAACAACATGTGCACACAATACAGTATGACCTTTGAGTATTGTTGATTTATTAACATGACTTAATACTATATTAGATAAATATATAATATACAATAACTAACCTGAATATGAGCCCACATATAGTAGGGAGTAACAAAAAATGATAGCAATGGCAGAAAAAAAAAGGTTTTAAAATGTTTTTAACAAGGTGTTTAAAAGTAATAAAGGGTGAGTATACATGTTCCTAAAACAAAGGATAATAACCTGAATATTATAAATGATGGTGTTCAGGGTGTTCCCGTTAGAAAAGGATGCTGGGTAATTTGATTATGCCTGCACACAGTCAAAAAAAATGCTACAGTAAACCCCCCCAAATACAGACCATGGGCTACAGTAATTGATTTGCCCTCAATCACTGGTCCCTTAATCTACTTACTGTTGCAACCAAGTCAAGGCAAATATCGACAGAGAGGAAAGGCCTGGCGGGCCAGACAGGTCTGTGCTGCACCACAACACTGAGACACTGATAGACTCATAATACTGAAACCAGGGTCCAACTGGGAAGATAAGGTTGTAGGAAGTCAGGGAATTTGGTTTGGGGCTCAAACAACACTTCAAAATGAAGTATGTATAAGGCTTCAATAGTCAGGTCAGAGAGGCAATACACGGCACATTGAAAAGAGTTATTCTTTTGGTGTTGGAGACATTTTAGCAAAAGTATAGTTGATTTTACTCTTGAAAGACTCAAATCTCTTTTATTAAACTCTGAGTTGACAAATATCCGAGTGTGGAAACGATGTGTCTTCAAATCAGACATGGTAGTGGTATTGCAGTAACACTAACTCTGAATGTTTTACTCTAAACTCTACACCTGCACTGTAAACCCGAACAGTACTATAACTCGTAAGTATTGGTACTGCAATCAAAGCCCACGATCAATTTAAATGAACAATGAAGGAATACATTATTTTAATGACTATTGCTGTTTAATTTCATGTGGATCCTAGTTTCTAAGGGAATATTGATATCTGAATTATAACTTTGTGTGAACACGTTGTGTGACTTGGGTGCACAATCACACAACATGAACATAGGGGCTGCATACAGCGCTACGTTACCATGACAACACACACCCCATCCCTTTAACATTTCAACACACAACAAACCCCGGTTCAATGACAACACATCCCGGTTCCATGTCAACACACAACATACCTGTTGCGATGACAGCACAAAACCCCCCTTGTTACCATAACTACATCCCATGTTACCATGACGACACACCCAATTACCATGACAACAAACCCTGTTACCATGAAAACACACAGCACCTCCTTACCATGACAACACCAACCATTACCATCACAACACACAGAGCCATGTAACCATTCCAACACACCTGTTACCATGACAACACACAGCAATCACTGTTACCATGACATCAAACAGCACACCCCGTTACCATGACAACACAGCGTCACGTTACGATGAAAACACACAGCGCCATGTTAACATAACACACCCCATTACCATGACAACACACAGCACATCCCCTTCCCATGACAACACACAAAGCCCCATTACCATGAGAACACACCCTGTAACCATGGCAATGCACAGCGGTGCATGTGTTGCCATGACAACACACCCCGTTACCATTACAACCCACAACCACACCTGTAATGAACTGCATGTAACACCATGAAGAATCACTGCCAAGCATGTTACATAAACATCTTTTTCCATACAGTCTTTTTTTCTGAAATTGAAACTATTTTCAGAAAGGTATTGTTATTACAAGATTTGGTCAAACTTACTATTACTTAATAATTGGCAAATAAAGGCAAATCTTGTATCGATATAATGAAGTCGCACTCTCATATCAGACATTTTCAAAATTCTATCAAGTGCTCACTAGACGCATGATTTTTAAATGGAAATGTCCACATTGTAAACCCGAACAGTACTACTAACACTTAAGTATTATGGGTACTGCAATCAGGGACAACTATCAAGTTAACCGAACAATAAACGAATACCTTTTTTTATCGAGTAGTGCTGTTTAATTTCATCTCTACACAGCAGAGATTAAGCTGCAGTGAGTGCTTGTTGTACAGCTCTGTACTTCATCTGTGTTCATTCAGCTAGAAAACTGCCTCCACTGCTGCAGAAAGCGATTTTACCACTAGCTGCCTAACAGACAGTCGAGGATTGGGTTGATGAGGAATAGTGGCCCATGTTATCTTCAAAATAAATCATGTGTACAAAGGTTAATCGACTGGATACAAAAGTATAATAGGTGAACAGAACACACTTACCTGTTCTCTACTTCAAAACCTAATCTTCCTGCCATAGAGCAAGGCACTCGCCCCCAGCTGTTTCTCTTCAGTCGTGACTCACGTGGTCCAGACCAGCTCATGTGAAGCAGAATATAACTTTATTTTTATCTCAGGAGAGAAAGGTAAAAATCATTTGTTTAAGATGCAGGGAGACTCGAACAGCCCCAACAAATATAAAAACATGACAAGATGTGATTTTACAGTGGGGCTTTGTGCCAAACTATTTCTTGGCTAGGAGCAATGATGAATAAGCAAAGTTGCGATGATTTATTAAAAACCAAAACCAAGGTGACCCACAACCACTAAAATTAAACAGATGAAACTAACGATGCCCGTCCCATAAAACATGATTGATTTCAAGGATTTCGTTTTCACACTTTCAAGGAATCTTATCTGCAAACTAAATTAATGTTTAGCTTTCTTCAGTAAAAAAAACCTTATTAATGCAGCTTACCTGTGGAAGAGCGGGAGAACATCCACAGAGCAGAACAGGCAGAAGCAGAGTTATTGGCAGTATTTTGGGGGTGTATATGATTTAAATTCATGGTATTGACTCTGTGGGAGGTGCAGAGAACTGTCCAGGTGTGACACTAGATCTGGGCTTCAAATTGCTGGGTCAGTCAGCAATGACCTTCCCTCTTTGAATCCACGACCAAAGTCCTACAGTATTACATTTTAGAGCAACTGGAAGCAGGTTAGGCACGAGTTTGTGGATCACAAATTCAAAGTTCAAAATGTTAGTGTCAAAATAACACTGGTTTAAAAAAAAATGGAATGTTCCATAAAATACAGGAATACATATCTTATTTAAGTTTGAGGAAGTACAATTTGGGGTTTGAATTGGTGATTAAACATGGAGCAAGAACATGTCGGGAAGCAGGGTTATAGTTGGTGATGAGTATTAATGAGACTGACTTTTAACAATTTATCCTAATAAGAGCCTCAGCTGATGAGATACACATTGGCTTGAAGCAAATGTTCGATTGGTTTGCCAGACTATCCATTACAATGATGAGCTTGATCCAGTGGTTTAACTCTCACAGTTGAGTTCAATATGGAGAGGAAACGGGACACGCCGCTCCATAGGGGAAAGTGTGATACTCTTTTCTTTGCAGGATGAAATATTTAACAAATATGTGTTTTTAAATTAAACAGGAACTGGATGGTTAGGATTAGCAGTCATAGCTTTGGTTGATCCCATCTACTTCATTAACTTTAAATCAAGAGTGCCACCCACTGTTTGATGGACAGGTGGGTTCTGGGAAATTCACCTTGCAATGTGTTCTGGCACTGAATATGTAAAATCGAATGAAGCAGTGAATCTGGTATGGTATGCATTATGATATATCTAATGCACATACAAGTCATTTCACACACACACTGGCCTTCATAGGGACAGCGGTTTCAGGGTGTGTAAAGAGGGAGCGGTATCTCTATGGCAACCTGGGGAGAAAGAGGTCACTGTGTGTGTGATAACAAAGCTAATGCTATTTCCTGTGCTGGGAGGCAGCTCTGACTTGATGCTTATCTGGATGTGCCCATCCCTGATATTCTAGTATACTGCGCCTCTCTGGCCATGTCCACACTAATGAGAATAGAGATCAGTTTCATGTCAAATTTTCCATCCAATCAAACTTCTTAAAAGGTGAACTTTACATGTCCATATATTTAGTATAAAACTAACATTAATGTGATGAATGAATAAACAGTTTGATGTTATGTCAAAGACAGGTTATATTTCTAGATGCTTTACTTAAAAAAAAAAAAAAAAGTATTTTCTACATTTTTCTCCCAAATTAGAAATCCCATTTCCCTAAGCACTATGTTCCTTTATCATCAACCGGGAAGGTTTGGTCAGGCCCCGAGCTTCCTCTGTTAGTCCTGGAGTCGCCAAGTGCTAATTTTTACCACTTTAGTAGGCTTAACATATTCCTCCACTTTCAAATGAAGCTTTTTTTTCACTCTTGTGAGGCTCAAATGGGTCACATCTTTTCAGCACTATAGTAACTTTCACATGTACTCAAATAAGAAATGTTGCATTCTCTGCAAAAACAAATACAAGTACAAAGTGTATATTAGCCTAAACTTGGTGATAGACTAAGTCAGGTTTGATCTATCTTCAACCCAGGAATGATGGTAATGTCTAAAGATTGGACCTGACGTTTTGCTCCACAGGGCTTTCTACCTGATATCATGTTGTCCTATATATAGTACTTTAATCTTCAGCTGGTCAATACCACTTTCAAATATAACTTAATAAACACAATGATTACAGGTGACATTTCAATTTCCTCT